CATGATGGGATCAAACCCAGCGCAATACATGATGGGATCAAACCCTGTGCAATACATGATTAGATCAAACCCAGTGCAATACATGATGGGATCAAACCCAGTGCAATACAATGATGGGATCAAACCCAATGCAATACATGATGGGATCAAACCCAATGCAATACATGATGGGATCAAACCCAATGCAATACATGATGGGATCAAACCCAATGCATTATATGATGGGATCAACCCAGTGTATTGTATGATGGGATCAACCCAGTGCATTGTATGATGGGATGAAACCCAGTGCATTGTATGATGGGATGAAACCCAGTGCAATGCATGATGGGATCAGACCCAGTGCAATACATGATGGGATCAGACCCAGTGCAATATATGATGAAATCAAAATATAATAACTTACTTGTTTTCACTGGCACCATTTATTTGTTTTCCTAGACCATCAAGCACATTGAGTCTTTCGTCTCTGTTACCCATTGCCCGCCGCACCCAAGTATCTGGATTGTTTGCAATGTCTTCATTTGGCATTTTATGTAAATAATTTCTTTTCAAGATATGAACTCCTCCCTCATTTCCATAGTTATCATCTCCTGGCATGTTGGCTACTGCAACATCATTGCCATAAAAATCTTCAAAGGGTTCAAGGCTTGTGTCAACGTCATAAAATTCACCACTTTCAGGTAGTCTGGTGATCTCTTCAACATGCCATAAACTTAAAGGTGTATCTATGACAGAATTAAATGAATTTGAGTAATACTACATGTCTGATGAAAATATGATGTTTACAAGATTTCATTGTACTAAGTGGGATGTTTACAAGATTTCATTATATTAAGTGTGTACAAGATTCCATTGTACTAAGTGTGGTGTTTACAAGATATCATTATATTAAGTGTGTACAAGATTCCATTGTACTAAGTGTGTACAAGATTCCATTGTACTAAGTGTGGTGTTTACAAGATTTCATTATATTAAGTGTGGTGTTTACAAGTTTTCACTGTATTAAGTGTGGTGTTTACAAGATTTCATTATATTAAGTGTGGTGTTTACAAGTTTTCACTGTATTAAGTGTGGTGTTTACAAGATTCCATTGTACTAAGTGTGGTGTTTACAAGATTTCATTATATTAAATGTGGTGTTTACAAGTTTTCACTGTATTAAGTGTGGTGTTTACAAGATTTCATTATATTAAGTGTGGTGTTTACAAGATTTCATTGTACTAAGTGTGGTGTTTACAAGATTTCATTGTACTAAGTGTGGTGTTTACAAGATTTCATTATATTAAGTGTGGTGTTTACAAGTTTTCATTATATTAAGTGGTATGTTTATAAAATTCCATTGTATTAAGTGTGGTGTTTACAAGATTTCATTGTATTAAGTGTGGTGTTTACAAGATTCCATTGTACTAAGTGTGGTGTTTACAAGATTTCATTATATTAAATGTGGTGTTTACAAGTTTTCACTGTATTAAGTGTGGTGTTTACAAGATTTCATTATATTAAGTGTGGTGTTTACAAGATTTCATTGTACTAAGTGTGGTATTTACAAGATTTCATTATATTAAGTGTGGTGTTTACAAGTTTTCATTATATTAAGTGGTATGTTTATAAAATTCCATTGTATTAACTGTGGTGTTTAC